ATGAAAATCAATATCAGCAGACATATTTCATTTAAACCTGTTGCCATTCTCCTGTCAAATTTGGTAACGAAAATCCAACTTTCTTCTGCTAATATGGCTACTTTGTCGGTCTATATCTGGCGCTTATCTCAACGGCAGCTGAATCAAAAGAGCAGAATGACACCAAACTGACTCCGTCAATCAATAGGTGACTCATGCTGGCAATCATCGCAAGTTCAGAGTTAGTCCACACAGTTCCTGAATCTTCTTAGACGGAACATCTAGAGCAGAAGAATAAGCCAAGTCACGGGATATTAATCAATAACAATGAAATGGCCAGATATTTTCCAGTCAGTGAAGCCGACAGAAATTAGACAAAAACACTACCCGTGTCTTCTAGGTCCTAACACAGATTCCTCCTGTTATTACATGGAAGGATACTGAGGGGCGGCAGCGTAGGATAACAGTCCCAGATAATCTGGTGAGCTAGGTTGATGCTAGGTCGTGAAAAACTGGCTGGTTCGGTGCGTTTGTGATCAGGAAAGTTGAAATTATGGTGTTTAAGTTTAAATTTTACATAAAGTAAAACAACAAAAACATAGAATGAAATGAATGGCAGAATTTAAAATTTATAAAATAAAATGTAAAGTAGAATAATGAAACATATTTACCCAGACTGAAAACAATAATGAAGAATATGAACAAAACGGATGGAAGAGTAATGAACAAAACGAATACGAACAGTGGAATAATGAAAGAGGAAAAGAAGAAAAAAGAAAAACAGGTCAGGAAAATGAAACAAACATAAAGTAGACCCCACACACACACAAAAATCAAAGTGAAGAGAATGGAAACGAATCATGAAAGTGAACTAAACGACGAATCATGAAAATAAACTAAACGACGAATCATGAAAATGAACTAAACGACAAATCATGAAAATGAACTAAACGACGAATCATGAAAATGAACTAAACGGAAAGTCGCAGAATGAAAATAAAAAACACAACGTTGAACTAGTGGCCTTCAGAAGCACAACCAAGAGTGACAAGATAAACGCTGTGTTTAGAAGTAGCTCTGTGTAATTTGTCTTTTTTCAAATGGGACTGGAGGCCAATTAGGTTTTTAAATATCTGTTCAGAAGAATATAAGGACCGTGTGGTCTCGAGGCATGGTGTCCGCCTTGAGTGCTAGAGGTCCGGTGTTCAGGCCCCGGTGAGGGCTGGGATTTTTTCACGTGGACATCTGGTAATTTTCCCTGGTCTCTGGGTAGTGAGATCAGACGCCTGTGTGTATTGTTGCGTACGTAAAAGAAAAAAAAAAAATCTGTTGGCAGTTGGAAATCTAAAAGAGTAGCCTATAACAACGCTGCCCGGGCAAAATTTGGAGTTCAAAATCTACCCAAAATATTTCAGGATCCTGGTCGGTGCTACCGAGTCCGTGCACTGAGCTTCTTGGGACTCGGACTTGAGTTAGAAGTAAAATGGAGTACTTATGGGTTACTACCCTTGTGTCATGATGTTGATCCGTTGTTCAAACCTTTAGAAGGATAAGAAGGCACTACGCGTAGAGCTCTGATTTTTTTTTTTCTACAAGTGAAAACGAGATGTGAGAGTGTAATTCAACTATTCGATTGTGACAGTGTCCAAATAAAGTACCTCATGATCCGAGTGTATGTAGATACGAGTTTTTTTTTAAAGGAAAAACGGTCAGGTTCGCTAATATTTTTTTCCGGAATACCAGGCGAAATCCAGGATGCGAGTTGGAGAAATGAGAACTCTCAGCATTACTCAGTATTATCAGCGATAGCATATAGATAACGTTGAAAAACTGGATAAGTCATGTTAACAATGCCGAAGAAGGACTCAAGTAGCATGTAATTCCGGTCCGATATATGCCTTAGGAGACTGCAAATTGTGGAAAGGTGTGATTCCCCTGCGCCAGTCGACAAAGCACTTGATGATGATGGACTGTAGCATCATGGTTGGAAGTAACCTCACTTTCTACCGACGACAAAAAAGTGCCACCCATTTTCTCCGTTAAACAACGGAAAACAGTAATTTTGTGTTTTATGTACAGCATTTGAAAGGATGTTTGTTGGGAGGGCTAAAACGATTTACAATTATTTATCCCCGTGTGGGTTCCGGGGCAAGAATAGACCCTCTGCCTACCCAAAAGCATGTCGTAAGAGCCGACTAATTGGGGAGCTTCCTTTGAAGTCGGAGTGCATTTGCCTGGGAGGCAAGGAACCAACAGTCTGCATTCAAGTGAATCAGATCTGTAAAACTGATGCACACGCAACACGCAGGTTCTGGAGCAGGACTGCAGTTCAGAGGTGGACGAACAACCAGAACTTTCCACCAGAGTGTACAGCTGGTGAACGCGAAGAAGAAGAAGAAAATTATTTACATAAGTATTAATGAAGAAGGGAGCTGTCGTGATCTACTAGACGCTCGGCTGCGGATCGGAAGATCGTGGGTTCGGTTTCTGCCGAGGGTCGGATTCTTTTTTAAATGACCTTGGCTCCCAGATCGACCCAGCCTTGAGTGGGTACCAGGTACAGTCTTGGAAAGTAAATGCAGCCGGTGAGATGCTGACTACATCACCCACCAAGTGCCGTTAGGTCTATAAAACGAAGGTCTAGCCCCATACACTCAATACGTCTCAAAGGCACAGAAAAGGGTCCTTTACTTTTATAAATAAAGAAAATAGTTCTATGATACGAGATATTCACCACAGGGGTCAAGTCGTGGAATTAATTACATTGGCATTATGAGATTGTACTGCATAATGAAAGCCCAAGTGAGGAAGATCTGGCATTGTCAATGAATTACCAGACAAACGTTTGACACAGCCTATCAAATCCTGCAACCCAACTCCATCTTGTCTGAATCAAGGCCAGCCATGTCCTTATCAAATTCTTTTCAGGAGATTCCGATCTTTGAACAGGAAACTGTAAAGCCAGCATGTAGTGGTACAGCAGACAGGAGAAGGATTTCTCTTATCAAGCAGATTTGTTTGTCCTGTAGACCCAAGCTCTGTGGGAACCGGGCCTAGGAACAGTGGCCTGTCTAGACTGATATAATACGAAGAGAGAATTACGATCACGTTATGGGCCCTCGCATATTGTATTCACTCTGCTGGGTTGTCCTTTGAAAAACTTTTTTTTTAAATTTGGGCATTTATTTTTTCCCCTTAGGGATTTCCAAAAAATTGACAACCTATTTCAGAATGGCAAAACCCAAAACATGAATTCAATATCTTTCGTTTAAACATTGCTGGATCACGCTTAAAAGTGTTTTGTTGAAAATAATTTTTTCCCCAAAGTTTGCTTCTTTTGCTATTTTCCCCCTTGGCGGCGCCCCTACATCTGGGTCTATCCTTTTACAAACTGTTTAATTTAGACTTTAATCTTCCCGAGGGTTTTTTTTTTTTCATATTGGCTTTAGTACCATTTTTTATTTTTTGGACGCTGTTTAAAAATGCACTGTCTCTCTCTCTCTCTCTCTCTCTCTCTTTCCTCTCTCCCTCTCTCTCTTCTTTGTGTTTTATTTGGAGAGAGAGAGAGAGAGGAGAAAGAAAGAAAGAAACAAAAAAAGACCGAAAGAAAATGTGTATCGACGACCAGTATTGTCCTGGTGTGGATTTCGTCAT